GCCGCACGAGGAGGGACGCAAGGACCCAGGATGTTCCAGAAGCTGGCCGAGGGGCCTACCCAGTGGACGGCTGGGGGCTGGCCTGGCCTCCAGCTTGGGCTGTGCACCAGGAGGTGCTCCTCAGGGAAGGAGCGGGGAGTGGGGAGGCCCGGAGAATTCTGTTCCCACCGAGCGGGAGGCAGCTGCAGTCCAGCCCGGGGAAGGGTGCCTCAGAGGCGCGGGTCCTGCTGGGGCTGGGGCTGGGGCTGGGGCTGGGGCTGGGGCTGGGGCGCCTGGGCCGGCACAGACCCAGGAAAGCGTAGCTGCTGCCAAGGAGGACCCTCCCGGGGTCTTGCTGGGAATGGTGCTGGTGGTGCTGGGACAGACAGACGGGTGAGTGCACACACATAAACACACCCGTGTCAAGATGACACACATACTCACACCAATACACAGACACAGAGCTACTCAATATGTCCCTATGCACTGAGACAGGCACACACACACGTCCACACACACTCACACACACGTACCCATTTGGGCCCAGATGCCCAGATGCGCACAACAGGGCAGACACATGCACGTGCACACACAGGTGCACTCCTGGTGCTCACGCAGCCAGCGGGGCCCAGGTGAGCCTGCCCGGCAGGGTGACTCATGCATGCCAGTTCCCGTTAGCTGGGCCGCAGCCGGGCAGCCTGCCAGCGTGGGTCAGACAGGCACGCACATCACTGCTGGGAAGAGGCTCTGGCAGGAGCCCATGCCAGAGTGGGGCACAGCCCTGTGCTTCAGGTGCAAACAGTGGGTTGTGGGTCTCGCCTTTTTTGCCCTGGTGTTTTCTCCTGGGCTGGGCAGCATTGCCCTGGAGCCAGGGACCCTGTGCTCTCCTCTCTTCCTGGGGTCCTGCCCTGCCCTGCCACCCATGGGTGCAGGGAGGGAGCACCATTGTGTCCCTGGTGTGTCCCAGCATCCGTCCAGATCTGTTGGGATCTCAGCCTGCCTGTCTGTGTATGTGAGTCTGGCCATGGGGGCCTGGGAACAAGGGGAAAGTCTTGAATAATCAGGGACTTAGGGTACAGACCCAGTTCCCCTGCGCCTTAGGTGAGGGACCTTGGTAAAATCGTGTGGCCCCTGGGTCCCTGTCTGATGAGGTGGCCTCATTCCATGTGATGTCCTGACTGTCCAGCACACTGCGTATGGGGCTACGGGGCTCCCACCAGCTGAGTGTGGAAGGGGATGATGGGGCCCCGGGGGGGGGAGGCCAGGGAGCTGCCCCTCGTAAGCAGAGGCCAGGAGGGTCTCACTTGGCTGCTGAAGGAGCAGCCCTCAGCTAGCCCCTGTGCAGTGGGGTGGTCTTTGGGACCCCCCGACTGGCCAGGGGCTGGGGGAGACTGGGGCCACTTCTGTCCTTGGCCTTGCTGGGAGCTGGGTGGCCCTTGGGCCTTGCTCCCTCTGCAGCAAGAGAGTTGGCTCTGCATTGGCTCAGGGCCCCAAATTCAGGCTGGAGGTGGGCAGGACAGCCCTGCCCCAGAGGCGGCCCCCCCACCCCCGCCCCCGCTCCTGCCTGCTCTCAGCAGAGAGCTGACTTCACCCGTTATGCTCAGCTACACACACTCCCTGGGCCCCCAGTGGGCCCCATTTCACCTCTAGGAGGGCCTGGCCCCTCAGCTGTGTGCACCAGAGATGGCGGGCTGCCACTGCAGACAGGGAGACAGACCATAGGTGACCCCCACGCCCCCAGGGCCAGCCAGACTGGGCCCCGCTTCCTTGGGTCCAACCCCTTCTTCCACCTGCGGATGTCTCAGAAGCCCCAGCCTGGCCCCAGGATCACAGGGGAGACAGGGGAGGACACTACTCAGGCGGAGCCCGGGAAGCCCAGCCTGGCCCCCCCACTCCCCGCCGGTCCCTGCCCCCCAGCGAAGCCTGGCCGTGAGCCTGCCGCAGAGCCTGGAGCTGCCAGGAGCTGCTGTCTCACACCCGGCCACCGCCCTGTCCTGACGGCCCCTCTGGGGACAGATGCCCTGCTGGGGAAGGCCATGGCAGTTGGACACGGCTCAGGAGTCGCTGTCCGCCCTCAAGCATGGAGTCTAGGGCCCGACTCCTGGCCACGCCCGGCCCTACTCGGCCCCCGCTGAGTGTCAGGAGGGACGCAGTGGTTCTGGAGCGCCCTGCGCTCCCTCCTGCTGGCACACACAGGCTCCACCTCCTTCCCAGGAGCGCCGCACCGGGGACCCCGGGGGGCCACCCCTCGGCCCTGGCCCTAGCCTGACAGTCAGGGATGTCAGGCTTGCCCGCAGCCTCCCAAGGCTGGGTACGTGGGAACCCGAGCCCAGGGTGCAGGGCACGGGCGGGGCCGGGATGAGGAGTCCGGGCTGCGGGCTGCACAGGCTTAGCCCCTGGGCCGTGTCCGCCCCTCCTAGCTGGCTGCTCTCCGTGCCTCTGGATGGGCGGGGAGGCCCGGAGCATCAATGATTGATGTCTCCTTGCGGCTGCCGCAGTGCCATAAACAAAAATAGCTCAGCCGTTGTCCCTGCCCTAGCCCGGCCCAGCCCAAGGGCCGCTCTAGGACCCTGTCAGCCACCATCTGCCCCCCCATCTAGTCCTCATACAGAAGGTGGGGGCTGGGGTGCTGCAGGTCTGCTGATCCCTGGCCTCTCACTGCCTCAGTCTCCCCCAAGCTGAGTGCCTGCTCCAGGCCTGGGGGCAGGTGGCCTCCTTGAGGTCTAAGAATCTCAGAGGAGCAGGACACCCAGGTGCTTCCCGGGGGCAGGGGACACTCCCCATCGTCATCAGGCAGTGCTGGGGGGCACAGGATACTGTGCGGCTCCGGGCCAAGTGCAGGCTGGCCGCCGGCTCCTGAGGCTGGGACAGGGGAGGCTTAGCTTGGTGGCAGAGAGGCTGCCCACCACGCCTGTTCAGCAGGGCTGGAGATCAGGGATGGATGGAGGTGCCCCGAGAGGAGCTTGGGGAGCCACCCAGGCTCTTCCTCATGACCACACTGCACCCACCTGTCCGCCGCCCCTCAGGGGCGCTTGGGTCCCCGGCACCCCTACTCCTACTGTGCTCCCTCTGACCAGCCTCCCCCAGCAGGTGAGCCTCTGAAACTTCAGCAGAAGCCTGCCCCGCCCGCCCAGCTGGAGGCCTGGCCCTAGGCTTGTGCCCCACGTCTCATGTCCAGTGGGCCCGGACCCGGGGGTCACCTGTCAGCACCCGGGTTGCACCCCGCCCCCACCCTGAGCACCCAATGCCGGGTCCTCTCTGCCACTTCCTCTGAGTCTTGGCTCCCCCAAGGCAGCACCTTTTTTTTTTTTTTTTTTTAAAAGGGTGAAGTTACTTCTTTTTTTTAATGTTTTTATTTATTTCTAGGAGAGAGAGACAGAGACAGCATGAGCAGGGGAGGGTCAGAGAGAGAGGGAGTCACAGACTCTGAAACAGGCTCCAGGCTCTGAGCTGGCAGTCAGCACAGAGCCCGATGCGGGGCTCGAACTCACAAACCGCGAGATCATGACCTAAGCGAAAGTCAGATGCCTAACTGACTAAGCCACCCAGGCGCCCCAAGGCAGCACCTTTTTAATATCAGGGGTCACCCAGGTATATTAGTTCCCATGGCTGCAGGGACAAATAACCACACAGTGGCTTAAACCAGCACACGTTTATTCCCTAACAGTTCCGGGCGCCGGCAGCACACAGTCCTCCTGGGGGCTCCAGGGGAGGCCCCACTTCCTTGTCCCTTTCAGCTTTGAGAGACTGCCCGCATCCCTCGGTTCACAGCCCTGCATTGCTCTGCCCTCCGCTTCTGTCTCTCCATCTTCTCAGACTCTAACCCTTCTGCTTCCTACTTGTAAGGGCATCTGGCTCAGCAGCATGACCCAGGACTGTCTCCCGATCTCAGGAACCTGAATGTAATCATGTCTGTGAAGTCCCTTGTACCTCGTAAGGTCCCATGTTCACAGGTTCTAGGGATCAGGACGTGGACACCTGTGGGAGGCATTATTCAGCTACCATGCCCGGCAATGCGGATCAGCCCGCCTGCACCCTGAAGGTCACTGAGGTCCACGCAGGGTGTGGGAAACTGCTGAGCTTAGAGGAGCTGGTCCCAGCCCCAGCAACACTTCTCACTCAGGCCTTTGGGCTTGGGCCTGTTTCCCCACCTGTACACTAGGGCACCACTCCCACCCCTTTCCGGTTGCCTGGACTACGACAACGGCAAGGACAGTGGGTGAGAGTTCAAGCGGTGGGTACACAGCAGGAATGCCTGGGATCAACACTGTCCCCTGGGTGACGTCGAGGCAGAAGAGCTGGCATCTGGTCACCAGGTGTCTGCCCAGAGCTGGGCAGTCTGACCGCATTGCCGGCTGATGTACCCCCTCCGAAAGCCGGGGGGGGGGGGGAGCTGCAGTCCAGGGGTCAGGGACGATCTCAAACTTTCAGTAGGGAGGCTGAGAAGGGCCAGGGAGAGCGGGCGGGGTGACTCATGCAAACAGGACAGGGCCCAAGGAGGTCACAGGGTGGAGCAATGTGAGCATGGAGGGAGGCTGCGGAGCAGGCTGGGGACAGACACCTGATGGCGGCGCTGGGGCGGCTGGAGTCCAGCTGACTCATCAAGGTGGATTTCATGAGCCTGGGGTCGGGGCAGATGGGGACCGGCCTGGACTGCCTGGGAGGGGCTGGCGGGAGGAACAGGCTGGCCCCTCAGTGCCCCTGCCCCGGAGCGGGTGGCAGCAGGAGGGGCAGGCAGTCCCGGCCCCACACCGGGCCCGCCGGGCCCGGGGCGGGCGCCCCTCCTCCGGCCCGCAGGCGGCGGACCCCCATGCGCCCAGACGCTGGAGACGCGAGGCTCTGCGACCCGGGGGTGCCGGGCCTGGAATCCGGGGCAGCACAGGCGCCGGACCGCTCGGACTAAACCAGGGACCCTCCCGATGGGAGGCCAGGGGACTCAGCGCCAGCGGGGCGCGCAGGCGCAACGGCGGCCCGCCGGGCACCGCGCAGGAGCCGCGGCGGCGGGGCGGCGCGCTGACGTCATGCCGGCGGGTGCCGGGCGCGGGGCCGACGCGTTCCGTTGCCAGGCAACGGGCGGGCGTGGGGAAGACGCGCGGCCGCTGAGCGCGCGGGCAGAGGCGGCGGAGCTGCAGAGGTGGGTGCCGGCCGGGGCTGCGGGCCGGGACCTCGTGGGGAACCCGGCCCCGGGCTGCCCTCGGCCCGCGCCGACTCCGCTCTCGGGAGCCTGTGTTCTCCGGACACGCCGCTGCGCTGGACCGGCCGCCCCGGCGCATGTAGGAGGAAGCGGGGCCGCGGCCCCGGTCACTGCCCCCGGCGGCTTGTGTCCGTCCCACAGCGACCCTGGCCACACAGCAGGCCGTCCGTGCTGCTGAGGAGGACCCGGCGGCCCTCCGACCCCGGGCCGCCCCGGCGCGGCAGTGTGCGTGTCTCCCCGCGCCGTCTATGCGGGCCCGGCGGCGCCGACATGCAGGGCCAGCAGCCGCCTCTCAGCGGGTCCCCGCGAGCGGGCGCCGGGGGACAGGGCGCAGTCTCCCCCTGCCCGACCCCTGGAGACAGCGGGGCCAGCCGGGCGCCCGGGAGGCGGGGCCGTGCGGGGGCGCCGTGCGTGAGGACCCCGTCCAGGACCTTGGGAGGCGGCCACGGCGTTTCCTGCGTCTCCGCGCGCACCGCCCGCGCTCCGGACCCGGGGGAGCACAGCAGCGCGTGGGGGGAGTTCGAAGGCTTTCAGGAATCTTCAGCCGAGTCTCAACACTCCTCGCAACCCTTTGAGCTCCTGCACAGCCGCGCAGACCGCGGGCCGCAGAGCGCGGCTTCCGCCCCGACCGAGAGAGGCTCTGAGCAGCCGCGGCGGGGCGGGCCCCGGGCGGCCTCTGAGGTATCTGTGCCGGGGCCCGTGCTCCCCGTGCGGCGCAGCGAGCTGCAGGCCGCCGGCTTCGGCGGGGCGGCCGGGGAGGGGCCTGCTTCAACCCCGGCCTCTGCCCCTGGGGGGCTGGCGGGCTGGCCGGCTGTGCAGGGAGGGGACCCGCCGGGGCGACTCAGGAGCTGGGCCACTTTCTGTGCCCACCTCTCCAGAGCCAGGCACACCGGCCTTGCCTTCCCTCGCCTCCTGAGGCCCCCGCCTTCCGGCCGCCCACAGCCCCTCACCCCCGGCTGTGCTCTCCTGGCCCCTGTGCAGGCACTTGGGAAAGAGCTCTCTGTCTCAGCTGTCACTCTACCTGTTTACTTTTTTTTTTTTTTTAACGTTTTACTTCTGAGAGAGAGAGAAAGAGAGACAGTGTGAGCAGGGGAGGGGCAGAGAGAGAGGGAATCACAGAATCCAAAGCAGCTCCAGGCTCCCAGCCGTCAGCACAGAGCCCGACGCGGGGCTCGAACCCACGAACCCTGAGATCATGACCTGAGCCGAAGTCGGACGCTGAACCGACTGAGCCCCCAGGCGCCCCTCACTGCACCTGTACTGTACCCCCCACCTAGAGTCACTTGCAGTCTGCGTGACGATCGGGCGCTGGGGATGGTCCGGAGAGCCCAGGCCTTGTCCCCTGGGCCCCTGTTCTACCCTCCCCGACCCGACCCCCAGCCCTACCTTTTCTGTGACTGCAGCTGACCCTGCTTTTTCTCGTCTTCCTCCTCCTCCCTCGCTTCTCTTTCTCTCCCGTCTCTTCCCAAGGGCTTACCCCGGGCTCCATGAGAACAGAGAAGGCACAGGAGGAAAGATTTCACCGGTTCCAGGGATGAGCTGGGTGTCTCCTGAGCCGGCCGAGGATTCCCGGGCCTCTGCCGGGATCCATTGTGCACGGGCCCGCTCTGCTCTAACACTTGTGCTGAAAACAGGACTTGTGTCCCAGCGTGATTAATAGATCAGGGAACAATCTGCGGATAGTGTGAACTTTGCGGGAGACACTAGGTGAATGCAGAGCATCACCCTGCCGAGCAAATATGTACACTGTGCTCATGCACATCGCTAACAGCTCCCGGCCTGTCAGCGCGCACACCTGGCACTTCCTGCCGGACTTCACACGCCCTCATTCCAGGACTTCACACTAACTCCCAACCTTCCAACCTGAGGTCTTCTTCCAGAAAATGCCACACTATTGTCACGTGGGTAGACTTCCCAGCCGGTTAACACGTGGGAAGCACATTTTTATGGGTGCCTCTTTTCTCACGTACCTGACAAGCTTGCGTGTCGTGCCCTAACCCCGCTCCCCCGCACCCCGTGGGAACAGCAATGGTACAGTCATTACACGTTTCATTTGCACCGAGATTATGTATTTGGCATAAGGTAACATAACTGATTTTTTCTATTTTTTAAAATTAATTTATTTTAGACAAAGAATGAGCACGGAAGGGGCAGAGAGAGAGAATCCTAAGCAGGCTCCACACTGTCATGTGGAGCCCGATGTGGGGCTTGAACCCATGAACCATGAGATCATGACCTGAGCTGGTCAGACGCTGAACCAGCTCTGCCCCCCAGGCGCCCCTAACATGTTTCTTCTAATGCTGATGTGTTTTTCTCTTTTTTTCAGCCCATTCTCAGCTATGAGGATGTTTTCAGGTTTGCTTTTCAGGAAGTACCAGTCCAGCAGGCAGCTGAAGGGGTCTCCCCCTTGGACCGCATCTTAGAAATGAGCGATGAGGGAAAACCTGGCTGTGAACCCGTGCACAGACTGTGGTAACAAACTTAAATTGGAACCAACATTTTTCACGGCAACTCCGAGTTTATGCTTTTGGTTGGTAAAATGGACCTTTATCGGGAGCCCATCTCTTAGCCCCCACAGCCTTGGAGCCACGGGGTCCTCACAGAGGGATGGGGCAGTGGGGGTTGATGCTCTGGCCGTGATCCCTCTTCTCCGGCCCATGTTTGTCCCCCTCCGCCCCCACCAGCTCCCCCAGGGCAGGACGGGCCGGGGAGTGCCAGCTCCTGGTGTCTCCATGCACGTGCTGGGGGTGCGGAAAGGACGGGGGTGTGGGCCCTGGACACAGGGGCCTCCTGCAGGACCTGACCGGTGGTCCTGAGGCCCCAAGCAAATAGCCCAGTGTCCTGGAGGGACGTTCTCAGCAGCCCGCGTGCATCCGGTGCGAGCGGGAGGCTGGCCGTCCTGGGGCCTGGCTTCCTAAGGGGAATCCCATATGCCGCTGTTTGCAGATGGCCGTTTTCTAAGCCGCGCCTCCACTGAGCGCCGACAGAGGGTGGAGGGCCGCGCAGTGGATGGTGTGTAGTGGCTGAAAAGGTTGAGGCCCGTTGGGCCGAGGCCACAGGAGGAGGGAAGGTCGGCGTGAGCTGACTCTCGTGGGCCCTCCATCCCTCTCTGCAGACAGGCCACTCCTGGGGTCCAGGCCAGTGCCCGCCCCCGGGAAGCCCCAGCAGAGGCCTGGGGACAGAGGCCCGAAGCCCAGAAGGCTGTAACCACCGTGGCCCAGAGGGCCGTACACCCTGTGGGTGTGGTGCTTCCCCGAGGTGTGGTCCAGGCCAGTAGGCAGGTCGAGGGGCCTCTGGTGGCAGCAGAGGGTGGGTGGCCCTGGGGCCCAGGTCTGGCGGGGCTGGAAGGTGGGTGGTACTTTGGGGTGTGAGGATGACTCGGAAATGACGTGGGCACTTAGTGTAACTGCCCCGCGGCAGTCCTCTGTGTGCACACCTCCCTCCCTTCGTGGGAGCTGAGCTAGAAATCGTGGACACCACCTGGTTGATGGGGGGCTAGAGATCGTGGACAGCACGTGGTGGGGGAGGGGCGGCTAGTAACCGAGGACGATGCATGACACACCCAGTGGTTTGTCCTCTGAGCGTTGCTCTGCCCTGGTTTTTGAGTGTTTCTGTGGCTCCTAGTGCAGCTTGTGGTCCCCGAGCTCATGGGGAACAAAACCAGAGGAGCATTGGGCTTCTAGAAGCTTCCGCGCCTTGGAGGAGACACCGAGTCATGACCAGATGTTAGGCAGAGCCAGGGGTGTGCTCTCTGGGGAGAGAGAAGGCCGGGGAGGAGGGAGGGAGTGCCGGGTGTCCGCGGGATAGCTGTCTGGATACATGTCCGGTGACGCAGCCTGGTGCTCCTTTTGGGAGCGCTCTGCTCTCAGAATGCTCAAAGGTCCGGTGCCCCTCTTAGCTTCTCTTCTCTAGGCTTTCTCGGTTACCTTTTAATTTACGCATCTGCCTTCCAGTTCTGAGCCCCGGAGACTCTGGAGAGCTCTTCAGACCACACAGAGCACATCGGCTTCTCGATGGCTCTGGAGCGAGTCGCGATGCCAGGAAAACTTCTTGCTTGTTCTTGGAATGGATGCTGCCCGGAAGGTGATGCAGGTGTAGCCAAGGCTCCGGGGGTGCGGCTGGGCTCCGCAGTGACCTGGCCGGCCATCCTAAGGGCATGGCAGGGGGGTAGGGGGGCTTGTTGCCAGGAAGCAGCAGGTGAGGGAGAAGACTCACTGGTTTCCGGCACAGTGGGGAGAATGTGGAGCGCAGGCAGGGAAGGGGCGAGATGGGTCAGCTCATCGGCATTAGGCACCTGCCCTGTGCCGGGCTGACGGATGTCCAGATGCGGCCCAGCCCTTGGCACGCAGTGAGGAGGGGCTGTGGCCGAGGGCGATGACACACACAGCATGTGTGTGTGGGGGTCCTCCGGGGGCTCCCCTTCAGGAGGGGCTCCGGCCTGAGTGCAGCAGGGAGAGGGGTGACGTTAGCCGCCAGGCGGGACCCCGGTGCCTGAGCTGGCAGCCAGCAAAGCTGGAGTGGAGGGGCGGCGGGCGGGCTGGCTGCGAGTCAGCAAAGAAAACGCAACTCGTAGTGAGAGCAATCTTTTGGCAACTGAGTAGACAAAGACCCTTTTCTGTTGTAACGTGTTACGGAAATGTTCAAACACGGGGAGCATAAAAGGGGCTGGCGGGCCTTGGTGAAGACGGGGACTTGGGGACGGAGGCTGGCTTGGCCGAGGGGCCTCGTGGGGCTGCCCAGGAGGGAAATGAGGGGAGGAAGGAGCCGGAGGGGCCCCACGGCCACCAGGAAAACAGCCGGGAAGCCGGGGGAGCGGGCGGCAGCTGGAACTGGAGGCTCAGGTGGGGCAGCTCCAGGGCTGGGGGCTCAGCCTGGAGGCGGCAGAAGACTGCGGTCCTGGAGGGCCGGGTGGCTCTGGACCAGGTGCCAGGAGGCTGTGGACCGGGCCGCCGTGTGGCGGCACCCCGGTGGGCTGTGCCAGACGGCTCCAAGTTAGCCAGAGAAAGAGTGGACAAAGTGGCCCTCTGTCCTCCTTCCCACTGGCTGACAGGGCTTGTCTCACTAGAACCTTTCCGGAGACCTGGGTCACATTCTGGAATGTTCCGACCTCCAAGAGCCTGAAGAACTGGGTGTACGCACCATCTGTGCTCAGCCCTGCAGGGCCCTGATCCAGACCCAGGTGAGGACAGGCCGCAGGCCGTGCTGGCCTCGTGCATGGGTCTGTGTGCGCACCTCCCACCTAAGTGCCTCGGACTCACGAGAAAGGCGCGTTCCCACTGTCCGGGAGGGCGGCGCCCGTGGGGCAGGACTCCCAGGGGACCTGGTGGGCAGCCGATGGGGGGGGGGGGGCAGTGAGGGTGGCGGCGGGCCGGAAGCTGGAGCCCTGGTGGTGGCCCCGGGTGGCGGCACGCGGGGAGTGTCCGCCCAGGTCCCGCTCTGGTGGAGTGGACAGTGCATGCTGGGGGGACTGGGCTGCTGCCTGGACGCTGGGAGGGGGCGGGACCTGGGCCGCAGGGCGGATAGAGCTCCGGAGAGACCCTGTCGTCTGGCCGCGCGGGCCATCTCCATGATGCCCGTGTCCTGGTCCGTCTGCTCCTTGGAACATGCCACCGGGCAAGAGGCAGGGGCCATCTTGCGGGACGCAGGGGCGTCTGCAGGGGCGCCACTGCCAGTAGCCCGCCCGCTCACAGCTCAAGGGCCTGGTGACCCTGGGGAGGAAACGGGCCCGCAGCTGCTCAGGGGGCCGGAGGCTGGGGTCCTAGAATCACTCTGGTCGAAGCGGCCCCGTGCGGCCCTGGCCTGGGCACACAGCCTGGCCGTCCTCCCAGCGTGTGCCCCCTTTGCTCCGCGAGAAGCCGGGAGCGGTCGGCGGTGTCCCGTGCGCATCCGCGGTGACCGCACGAGGCCAGCAGAGAAAGCCCGTCGGGGCGCGGCAGCCCGGCCTCGGGGGCAGCAGACCGCCGGCCCTCCCAGGCCCTAACCGCGCCTTTCCTCCCGCGCCAGCCCTCGGGGACGTGTGGCGGCAGACAGGGGAGCCTGAGCGCCTGGGGCCTCTCTCTGAAGACCCCCTCACACAGGAGCGGGCAGTGCCTCACAGTCCCACGGAAAAAGAGGATTTTCAGTCCACGTAACCTAAAAATGACCTTGTTTAATAGTAATGTTTGCTAAGATGAGAGTCCTTGGTATTTTTATGAGAAATTTTACATTTTCTTACTGGCTGGATTTGCTCCTGGAAACCAGCACTGTTTTGTGGGGGTGTTTCTCAAACCTCAAGTCAGGTTCCTGGGATCCTCATGCAAACCAGGCTGGGGTCTGACTGCTTTGGGAGTGGGTCCTTCTGCAGAGCCATCCCCAGCAGCAAGGGGGCGCCCCGCTCCCAGGAGCTCCGCCCCAGCCCCCTCAGACGAACCCAGTTGGCATCCAGGTGACATCGGGGGCCCTCTGCCCCGTGAGGGACCCCAGGTCTGGCCACCGGTGGGGGTGCACCGGCGTGGCCTGGCTCTCCGTGGGGGATGTCACCAGGAGGCCGCCGTTCCCGCGCCCAGGAAGCGCGCTCTGGGCCAGGGCACACGCGGAGGGAGCGCCAAGCCAGGGTCTCCCCCAGAGCCCCGCAAATGCTCACCTGCACCACTGCTGTGGGGGGGGGGGCTCTCCGTGTCCCGCCCTCCTCTCCAGCTCTGAGCTCTGGTCCTGGCGGGGGGCTCTGCGTTTTGTAAAATTTTATTAAATAAAATGGCCTGGATGAGCCCATGTTCTTGCTGATTCGTCTGTTGTGTGGAGACTGTGCAGAGTCCTGTCGTCCGGCCTGCCGCCGCCCCCTGCCCCAGCCTGCCCGCCCCTGCCTCCCTGCCCCCGCCCCCTGCCCCAGCCTGCCCGCCCCCTGCCTACCTGCCCCCGCCCCCTGCCCCAGCCTGCCCGCCCCCT